AGCACGGGTCGGGGTGAGTGTCCCGGCATCCGCCGCCCCCGGCCGGCCGGCCGGCCCTCAAACCCCGAGTTCGGGGACGCTCGGCCTTAACTGGTCGGACCTGCGGCGTGCGGCCCCCGCTTTTCTTCTCCCCCATTTACCTCAGAATTAGTGAAGCAGCTGGTCTTTCAAACCGGCCGCTTTTCGACCTGGGTTTTGTTCCCTGGAGAACGAGGCGTGTGGGCACTCCGGGCACTCGGAGGGGACGAGCGAGGGGCCGTGAGGGGGTCCCGGCCACCGCGGGACGGAGCTTGTGTCCAGACGGCAAAACTGCAACGCTGCCAGTCGCAGAGCTTCCCGGACACAAGAGGAGCGTCGAGGGGACACGGGGCGGGTTTTCCCAACGGACCGTCCCTGTGGTCTCGGAGCCGCCGAGCGCGACGTGTCCGCGTCCTTCGGAAAGCACTGGGGACTGGGTGGCGAAAAGTGGTGCCTGGCCACGCTGGGGTGGTGTGCCTGCGTGTGACAGGAAATGAGCCCGGGCTGCCGAGGCGGTGGCGGTGCCCAGCGCTTCATTCAGGTGTTTGCCGGGGACGGGGGCGTCCCCTCCCTAGCGACTCGGCCCGCCTTCGGGGCCCGCGAGCGCAGCGCTCGCCAGCGTCGGGAGCGCCGGGTCGGTTCCAGGTTGGAGCCCGGCGGCGGCGGAGGAGGAGGCCGCCGCGTGGTCCCCTCTGGCCCCCGGGCGCCGCCGCCCGGACCCCGAGCCCCACCGGCCGCCGGGCCCCGCTTCAGCTCCCGAGGATTTGTCAGCCAGATGTGACAAGATTGTGGAGAGGCGAGGGAAGGAGGAGATCTGATATTAATCAGCGCATAGCTCGGAGCCAAACTTTCTCAAACGCGGTGTAGAAACATGTTCTTCTCATTTAGGGCATCTCTTTGTGACTGTGGGGCTGCCACCGGTCTGCGTTTGACAGTGACACGGAATGCCAACGAGCAGCCTTAATGGTATGAGTGAAGTCGTGTGTGTCGGGGAGGGGGGGATCAGACACGCTGAGGTTCAGTAATGTCCCCTCGTTTTATGACCTTTCTCGCCGCAGCCCTCTGAGGACGAGGGCGTTTAAGTCAGTCGGGCCAGACGCCTGGTCTCAGACAGGCCTCTGCTGTTAACACTTAAGGGGCCTAAAAGAGGCCCCCCTGGAGTCCTGGGAATCCCTGTCAGAGGAGGGGTGTGTGTGTGTGTGTGTGTGTGTGTGTGTGTGTGTGTGAGAGAGAGAGAGAGAGAGAGAGAGAGAGAGAGAGAGAGAGAGAACGTGTTAGTGCACAGGACCGCAGAGCAGATGTAGCACCAATTTTTAAAAAATATATTCTCATCAAAGCGACACGATTTTGGCTTGACAATAAGCGCACTGAAAAACAGCAGTTGGCAGATCTTTTTTTTTTTCTGGTGTCCTTTCATTCCTTGTTTATTGTTTGAATTTGCTATTAGATGTTATGGGATCTTTTCATAAGACTTCTTGGAGAGACTGAGTTTGCAAATATGTGTTTGTGTGTTAGAATGTTAAAACTTTTGTTCGGTGATAGATATACTACCTTCTCGATGATCCCTTCCCCAGTTCGTTGACATACATTACTAAAACCTTGTTAAAATTGATTATGTCAAAAGAAAATTTTTGTGCAACATAGGAAAGAAAATTACTTCAGGTGTTGCGAAGTGTGCCGGATTTGATTTTTGCTTTAAATAGGTATGAAAAGATAGGTGCCCCTTTTGCTATGATGGATTTTGATAAATAACTTTATTCTTTTTGGCATAGGTAAAAAAGAATAAGATATGAGTCATCATTTGATCTCTCATCTAATAGGTTTGTTAACTTCAATTTCACCAAGAAACTATTACCATTTCATGTCAGCTGTTGGTTGAACATGTTCGTGTTATATAGTTAAATGCTGAGAAGAGGTGGTGGAATCTTCACTAAGTACACATGCTGCTCATACTTTGGGGACTCATAATTATGTTCAGACATCTGTGTAATTTCGTTTGGAATATTGTCCGTACCTATAGAGTCACTTCAACTAGTAAGGATTTGGGGACATTCTCTTCCTTCAGTCGAAGAGAAAGTGGTTAGTTTGAAGTTAGTTGGCTGTTGATATCCACCGGGATGTGAAACAGTGATCTATTTGCTGTGGTTATAATTCACATTAGAAATATTGACCAACATGAAGGAACTGCCTTGGAAGCATAAGGTTTACATAGAGAGTTACTTTATTTTTTATTACATCCCCCCGCCCCCGCCCCATGCAGCAGTTAGTTAGGCTTGCTCCCCAGGCCTATGCCCAATTTCTATACCTTAGGATCTTCAGCTTGGAAAGACCATCCAATCCAATGGGTCAGAAAAGGTTTCCTTGGAGAACAAATTCCCAGGTTTACTTGTGGAACAAATAATAATTGTCCCTTAAGTACGCACTTGTCATTTATGAATGCCTAGGGATACATATAAATGGGGGAACATGTTAAAAGTTCAGTTTGTCAGTAAAATTAAACTGCAGCCTATGGGGTAGGGGAACAGAAGTGTCTTTTAGCTTTTTGTATATATGACTTTAGAAATTATTTTGATGTGGCCATTAAAAGAGATGCCCTGAAGGTTCCACAAGGTAAATTACTTACAGGAGGAGTATGCTTCACCCCAGGGTGAATTTTTTCCTCTACAGATGTCATTTAGAGTGAGTTACTTTTGTCAGAAACAACCCTTTTTAAAATACCCTAGCTAAGGTGAAATCTCAATGCTAAGCCATCTATATCTAAGATCAAGATTTAGGGAGTCAATACATTTATTTAAAACTACCTTTTTCCAAGATTCTGCTGCAGAACTTTTATTTATTTATTTTTTGATGACTTATCTGAGAGATGTTAAAGATAACTGGGTTCTGCTCAAAAGAAGTATCTGGAATAGGTCTCTTTTCTTTTAAATTGGTTTCCACCTGAAAACCTTATTTCTGCTTATCTTGTCATTCTTTGAAGTCCTTTTCCTAATTCTGGAAATTCCAAGATTCCAGTGTGGCACCACTTCCCTGCACAGACACATGCCTATTTCAGTCAAAGAGGGTGGGTATAAACAGAGAACAGACCTATTTCTCCAGGATCCAGTTTGGGGCCTTCTCAAACTTCACATAGTTATAGGCAAACAGACTGTCACTGTTGCCGTCCAAATATGGACTCATTATTATAAACCAGCCTAACAAAGCACAGGAGGACTCTGCCATGGAGAGATGATCATTTCACTCTGCTAATGTGAAGCAAAAGAGAGATGGAGAAACAAAATGTGAAGGTCAGGTCAAAACAGCTTTGTCTTTAGGGAAGTGGTTAAACTCTAACTCAGGCTTCTAACTTTGTTCATATAGTTAGGTTAATTTGATTGTCTCTTCTGTTATTTGTGTAATCCTTCCATATACTCAAACATCAAATTTTTTACCAGCTTCCAGAAGCACTGTTCTTGGTCTGTAGCCATCTGATTGTTTCTTGCATTATTTATTACGAAGGTAAAATTTTTGTGCCGTCAACTCTAACATTTCATGATACTCCATGCCTAAATTTTAAGAAAGTGATTGGGATGGCATAATCTAAACTTTTCTTTTTAAAAACTTTGTTTTGAAAATCCAGTTCTCATTAAATCTCTAAAAGAAATATTTACAAAATTTTACTTACAAATAGTCACAATTTCATCTTTATTTTACATCAGCGGCAGTAATGAAGTAGCACTGCTTATATAACTTCCCATTTTATATAAAATTATTCTAAAGTCCAAGTGTCTCATTTTGTTTTGTAGTTTGCTTTTTCCCCGGGCTGATTCGGCTATGTTCAGAAGTACCCTATACATGCAGTTAACATCTTTCAGTTTTTGTTATCAAAGATTTCTAAAGATTACCTCTGAAGTTTCCCAAATTTAGGTTATAAAGGAAAAAATATATACATATCATTTATATTTCTGTATAGTTTTCCAATTTTTTCAAAGAGGTTGGGCTTTTAGGGTAATATTTGCATGTTTTTCTACTATGTTTTGTATTTTCAGTTTTCAGAACTAATAATTTTAAGAAAAAAGGCATAGACGTTAAATTATTTTGGCACAGGGTTTATACTTTGATTTATAGACATCAAAGGAACAAGTATTTTCCCCATCACCCTCTTTGAACTAAGCAGCAAGCAAACACTACAAATGTGTCAAGCTTACTCTTCTCACAGTAAGACTCAGCTCAAGCTCTGTCACCTGAAGGGGCTCTCCCTCCCACCTGCTCTTTCTCTGAAGCCTTCTCCTTGGCTTCAGTCTTCTGGGACTGACCTCTCTTTTCATCCCCATCCTTAGAGTGAGAAGCCAGATTCTGCAGTTCTTCTTCTGTGTCATTTTTATACTGCAAATGCCGACTACGTGGTTTCTGAGACTCCCCAAATCCCTCTTTCACCATGCTTGTGGTAAACAGTGTCTCCCTATTGTTTACACCCTAGTGATTCTGTGAGCCCAATAAAAAGACTCCTGGCCACCCATCTGGACAACCCACCCACAACCTGTTTTCTTCCAAGGCAGGCTCTCACTGCCCCTAACAGAAGCTTGTGCTCTGACTCCAGAGCCCGATACACATGGACATGAGCTTCTCATTGTGCCTAGGGCTGTGTTGTTTCCTGCATGCACCAATGAGAATATGCCTACTTCCTCCCAGAGATTGCTTCCTCTGGCTTCTCTGTCCAACCCTGATATTCTTGCCATCTCACTTAAATTTAATTATTAAATTTTGTGAGGGGTGGGAATTTGCCTTATTTTTTACTTTTTATTCTAGAAAATTTCAAACAATCAAAATTAGAATCATTTCATGAAGCTTTGTGATAGTGTTTGGGGGTTCAACAGTTACCAACTTTGAGCCAATCTCATTTCACTTATATTTCCTACCCATTTCTCCTGTTAATATCAACACTGGATTACTTTAATGCAAATTCTAGGCATCATATAATTTCATTTATATGTACATTAATACATAGCTCTAAAATATAAAGGTTCTTTTTTTAAACAAAAGCAATATCCCACAGAGCACCTAAAAAAATTAACAATAACTCCATTTTGTCATTACGTTTCCTGTCAGTGTTCAAATTTCCTTGATTTTCTCATAAAATTTATATTACAGTTAGTTTGTTCAAATCAGTATCCAAGTAAGGCCCATACATTGTCATTTTAAAAAAGGTTCATGCTTTTTTCCTTGCAACTTATCTGTTTAAAAAGCTGGGTCATTTGTCCTTTAGAGTGTTCCATAGTCTGGATTTTAATGATTGTTTCCTTGTGGTATCCTTTAAGCATTCCTCTATCCCTATATTTTCTTAAATTGGAGTTGATCAAGAGGCTTGATACAATTCAGAATAGCACTTTTTTGGCAAGAACACCAGATGTGTAGTGGTATGTATCCTTCCATCCAAAGGCAGATGGTTGGTTGTCTTCCTTTTCATGAGTTGTTGAATGGTGGTATTCTAGTTCTTCATTTATTGGATTCACATTCAGAGAGAATCTTTGTCTCATCAATGATTTGTTTACCCTGAAATGTAGGTTGTAGAGAAGTGGATACATACTTGATTTTTTTCCTTTATTTACCAGTTTCAGGTTAATATTTGGTTTCCTAGCATTCTCAATGAATTTTGTTTGTTTTGAGTATATTTTGAATTTCTAGATTTTAATGCAGTATGACTCATGCTAATTTTTGACAAATTATATTCTCCACTCTTCTGTTCTTGACCAACCCAATTGTATGACTTTTCTTTCCAAAGCAACTCTGTGCTACTCCAGTGCCAGACACTGAAAGCGACACATCTTTGTGTCTCCATGGGCTCCTCATGGTTATGAGTACATGGTAGATGCTTTTAAAACAAACTAAAAAAACTTGTTAAATAGATGGTTATCATTTTGTTAAACTATGAGTGGAAGATGAAGGCGTGATGTGTTG